ACATGGTAGGAATTTTCTTTCCCAAAATTAGTTTCTCTCACAAAAGACACAAGTATATATAAAGTAATCCTTTTTCATTTCTACTGAGTCTCAGGGAAAAGTAATATCAGCTGAAGATTTAGAGACAAATAAAGCCTGTACTTCATAAGCTCCATCAGAATGGGAAAGCCTTTCACAGAGAGTCTTTGCTAGGCACAGACATGGGCAAGTGGATGTAAATGGAGCAGACATGGAAGACAGAAGCCTTCCTGGCTTTGAGGAGCCAACACACACATGCCCAAGGAGGAACCCAAGTTTTCCAGGGTGGGTTGCTCTCTTCTGCCTTCTTACTTCCACCACTGAGCCTCAAGGCCTGTGGAGTTCTTTGGCCAGGGCACTGTGGGATAAAGGAAGGGATGAGCCTTCCTGGGCTGCAGTAAATCACCCACAGCAGCAAGCTTGGTGATCATCTTTCTTGCATGTTTGCTGTTCTTCATGTTTGATTTATTTCTTCAAAGAGAATGCAATGCCACGTCTGTGGTTATCCTACAAAGGATAGCCCCAGTCTCACTATGTGACAGAGATCTGCATCTCCCCTCCTGTGGAGGCTGGCTACATGGTGACCGGAGCTCCTTTCTTTGCTCTCAAAGACATGAGCTTGGAGCACTGGGAAATGGATCCTGTTTAACATTTCCCCATTGCAAAAAGTTGCGTTATTAATCAGCATGTGCAACATGTCATAGAAGAATATTTGTGAGTTAGGAACCTTGCTGGGAAGGTGCCCTGCTCTCTGACGTCCAGCCTAACAGTGCTGGGTTTCTTGGGGCAACCCTGCCTGTCTCATGACAGAAGGACAATCCTGTTGCCATGGAGATACTAATCAGAGTGGCTCTCTGATCCTTGCCATCGCTTCCCCACCTTCACCTTTACCCACTTTCTGTAAAAGATTGCCACCAGTGGCTTTTGTGGTCCAATTTCTGATTTCAGTTTATTAAGTAAAAGCTGAAAAGCAGAGGTCAGAGGTGCCTGCCCTTAGAAAATTGCTCACCTTGTTTTCGGTGTGAGCAGAATGACTTTCCACAGTTGTCTGCCTCTAGCCTGCTAGGAACTGAGAAGTACTTTTCAAAGAAGGGAGTTCTTGCAGAGGGGTTTTATGTTATATTCAGGAACATGGTCACTTGGTTCTAAAACCATTCCTGTGTCAGCCCTGGTGTGGATGCAAAGCAGGTCATTTTTGTCCTTCTCATGGGCAAGAATCACTGCCTGTGAAGGACAGCACTTGTCCTGCTTGCCTGGCTGCGCTAAGAGTGCAGAAGACAGCCAACCTTACTAGAGACTGAATATTTGTAGCTGGAACCTGCTGAAACATGTCTCCAGCACCTGAGTTGCCCTGCAGCATTTGGAGCACATTACAGGATCAAGAAGGAGACAGTGTGGATCTTCTAACCATCACATAACACTCAGTGATTCCCCTCCAGAGGCCCAGCCCACAATGCAGACTGGTTAGAGCATAATCTCTGCAGCTGGGATAGTGGAAGGGCATTTTTTAGACCTCTCCAGGTAATTGCGATGAGCAGCCAAGTTTAAAAACATTACCTTAAGGAAACAGAAGAAAAGCCTGTTGAATTTTTGTGGTCCCATATCTGCCTTTTATACTCTATCAAGTTAGACTGACTGGCCAGTGCCCATCCACATTCACCTACAGAAGTCAGAGACATTGATCTATTTTTTAGCTTTGAAGCAGAAGCAGCTTTCTTTCTTTGGGCCTATGGGCCTGTGAGCCTCCTCCATATGCACATTTAGTAGAAAGATGTTGCTTTGTATACCTGCAGAGGATGGTTGGATCTGTTGAAAACAGAGGACTCAGCCCCATTTTTTTGTGGAGAAAGACATTATCAAGCAGAACGGCACCTGCATGTTCCAGAAGTCAGGGTGGTCCAAAGGACCCTAGTCAGGGGCCCTTTGATGCCTCTGCTTTCACCCTGTACTCACTAAGTCATGACAATAAAATGCAAACCAACTTCAGAGACTTTCCTGAAAGTTTCAGAGAAAGATGAATGAGAAGATCACAGTGCATACTATACAGGAAATGATACTTAAAAATCATTCAAACTTTCCTCATTTGGCATTTTTAATTTCCTTCCAAATGCAAAGCTCCTCCGCCAAAAAAATCCCTTAAATATTCAGAGCTATGGAGTTTCCCCTCTGCTTTCATCCCTTACTCTACAAAGCAGGCCCCTGAAAATGAGCTTCATTGTATGATCTGTTATTCCTTAGGCGCAGCCTTGAAGTTGGGGGGGGGGGGTGGTCAGACAGTTCATCTACCACTGTGTTTATTAGGAACTTAGAAATATTTGAAAAACATCATGATCATTCCCATGTTCATCACCAGTAAAACTTCAGGCATCCTGAGCTGTCTGTTCTCAAAACTCCAAAAGCCCACATTTCCTGGACCACTCACCTGGAACCTGATTATCTGCTGCATTGCTTCACTGTGTCCAAGTGTTTCCCCAAAGGAGATAGAAGCCCCTTCAGGATATCATCGTTCACCTCTTTGCATCCTCCTCTAAGCTTTACATGTCAATAAATACTTTTGTTGATCTGCCCAGATAGCACTGAAAACACTGCTGTCTAAAGGTGGTATTGAAGGAAACTAGAGACAAACCAGAAGAAGGGCATATAGCATGTGATCAGAAGATGGGAAGATAACTATGTTGCTCAGAGATGCACTCTTCCATAATGGGGTGTAATCTCCCCCATGGAGCTAAGTACTGACATGCTCTTGCTTGGACACTCATGGATCTCTGTTGCCTGCTGGTTTCTGACTGGCACTGTAATAGACCATAAATAATAATTATGACAATAACAGAGGCTTACACTAGTGAGTACTTATAAAGCACTGCTCCAAGTGCTTCCCTGTATCAACCCACTAAGCTACCTCCACCCTCACCCCTACAGTGTATGTTTCACATCGCCGGGAAACACATAGCCAATGTATGACAAGGCTGCCCTTCAGGCTCAAGCCCTGTCAAAGCCAGGCACGTTCACTTGCTGTACTCCAGCAGGAAAAGCAAACTCTGCTTCCCATGAGCTTACATGCTAGTTGGAGAAAAGAAAAAAAAACTGCTGAAGATAGAACCTTAAGAAGCTAGGCCAGCAATTTGGATGTCAAAGCTGCATGAGGGATGGGGTTGCAGAGCATTGTAAGTAGACTGACAAAATGCCTACTCAGGTATGGATAGAGGCACCCATGGAGATTCAGAAATTACCAGGCTGGGTTGGGAAGGGCAGGTGTGGGAAATAACATAGGGCCACAATGTTCAAAATACCAAAAATAAAACTGAAAGAAACTTCTCCTAGGACATAAATCTGCCCTAGACAGGTGAGGCAGAGGAAAAGAAAGGGCATATCCATTTTCTGGCCTCCACAGGTGCCTCTGACTCAAAGTCAATAATTCTTCAAGGACAAGGGCAATGATGAATGATCGGGAGATGACCTGTGTGTCCAGACAAGATGGGTGGTACTGGGCACAACAGGGGATGGTCCCAATGTCATAAAGGAATAAGACAGACTCCCTTCTCCAGTATGTGCACATTGACTGGTGCATATATTCCAAGCTTTGCCCCTCATTTACAGACATCAGTGGATGTAGGGGGAAGTAGATCATAAGCTCAGATGTGAAAGCGGAAGCTGAACTAATTAGACTTCCATGTTCTGGATCCCAGAAGGGGCCAGATGTAGTGCCAAGGAAGGCCCTGCCTGCCCTTTGCTCTCTGACTTTGTTATAAGGTTATAGAAAAAGGATAGTGCTAGACTCACTGAAATCTCGCTCCATGGACTGGACGCTGAAATGAGTTGGGCTACCCCTGAACTCACGCTGGAACTGACAGGCGCCTGGGTCTTTGCACCTCAGCCCCCCAGATGTGTTACACTCAAAGCCACAAATAAACAATAAGTGAAAGCAATTCAAATCTTCACTGAAATCCCTTGTGAAAAAGGGAGGTCCATCTGTGCTTCCCCATGCCATTCCTCAGGATTTCTTCATATATCACACTTCTGGCAGCTGACCCAGCTATCTCCTAGTACCCTGTTTTTTCAGTCTTCCCCAAATTTTATGAAATCTGGCCTGTATATCCTTCATCCTTTTTCCCTTCCTATTGAAATTTTTGCTGCAACTGTCTGCCCTTTCCAATGTCCTCCAAGCCAGGAGCCCCAATAGTCACATTCCTGACCACACCTGCTTTTCTGACACCTCTCATTAAGGACCAGAAGCCAAGGCTCATACAGGTTCTCCTTCGGGGTAGAGGAGAGTATCAGAGCTATGAAATGTATTGCTATGATCTAGGAATTATCTTTCCAAATAAGATTAACCCCCAACTACCACCACCATTTCTATTTTATGAGAAGAAATTACTTCTTTTAGGTCTGGCCCCAAGTGCTTAAAGTGACTTGTCCTTGAAGCAAAGCTGATTCAGCCTGCTATGCACTAGCTCAACAATTCCCAAAATTCAGGGGCTGAGAACATCACACTCATATGAAAAGCTTGTTAGGAAGTTCTCTCCAGATTTTTGGGCCTTTCTCCATACATGTTGATTCAGAAATTGGGGGAAAGAAATCCAAGAAATGTGTGTTAACAAGCTCACCAGGTAATTCCAATAATGAATGTCTCTGTTTGAAAACCTATTCTTACCTAATTAGAAAATGTCTGAAATGGTTTCAATTTTATGTAAGCCTTGTGTCCATAAGATAGATTCTTACAAGACCATGTGGCTGACTTCTGGGGCATGGGGTGTGGGCACAAGCTGTAGAAAATGTGGGGATCAAGCGGGGGACAGGCATCAGGAGGGTTAGAACCTACCTATTTCACATAATCTTCCCACAACTACATGGCTTCTTGTACAATGTTAATGGCAATCTAACAGATTAGTAGTAAGCAAACTTATATTTTATTTATTGCAATGACTGAAAAATTGCTATTGGCTCTAACTTAAATGTCTGTTTTTATGTTCCGTCATTCCCAGGCATGAAAAGTTAACACGAAAAAATCCCAAGGCATAAGGAAGCAGGCATCATTCTCTAGGACCCTGCGGCATTGGAAATGAAGCTGAGCAGACTTTATTACATCCTACAATTCTACAACCTTTCGTAAAGCATTTTATTACACTTGTGGAAGCCAAAGGGGTTACGTTTCAATCATGATGATTGACAGGCTAACTTCAAAACAACGGCATCAGCAGCCCTTCCACACTTCCTGCTCTGTCTACTTAGAACAGAACCCTTCCTAAACTGTTCCTTGGCCTGGATGAAAATAAAACAGTAGTTAAAATATTTATCTTGTGTGTTGGCTAACTTAAAAATTGATGTTTTGGGGGCCTCTGAAAGTCACAACGGAGGAAGTCCATCTCAGAACTACTTCTGTGCTTCCTGTAAACCAAAGGTGTGTTAAGACTGAGATAAGATTTAGAGTTTCCATTTTGGCAGGTAAGATACTAGAACAAAAAATGTACAACCTTTCCTTGGTCATAGTCTTCTGCAGAGAAGCAGGGATAAAAGAGCCTAAGATGGCAAAGTTAGCTTCCGGAAACTAATAAACACTTAATGTGGTAATCAGACACCTTGGACAGGCTGTTTGAGGCGTTGGAATGTAAAGAAAGGGAATGGGAAAGCTCTCGGTATTGTCTTAGGAAGTATACCCCGTGCCCACAATAATCGGTTTCCTTGAGGGAGGATGATAGAAGGAGGCCATTTCTTCTCTTGATATATTAATAAAAGGGGGGATTCGAGTTTATAGAGAAAAATAAAATACATCAATAGCACTGCTAGAAAGAACCAAAGGCAGAATTTTTCTTTTTCATGAAAAGCCTCCTTGAGAATCTCTTTGGTTTATGGGCCCCTCCCCGAATCCAACACCATCACCAACATGTTGTTTCTTGTGTCTTCTGTAACAAACAACCACTCATTGGGTGGCTTAAAACAACAGAAATGTGTTCTCTCATGGTTCTGAAGTCCAGACATCCAGAATGCAGCAAGGCCATGCTCCCTGCAGAAGTTCTGGACCAATCTGTCCTTGCCGCTGGTGGCTGCTGGCAGTCCTTGCCATCATTTCTGTCTCTGCCTCTGTCTTCACATTCCTCCACTTCAATCTCTGTGTCTCCTCTCTGTATCTCTTATAAGGTCACTTGTCCTTGCATTAAGGGACCACTTGGATAACCCAGAATGATATCTCAAGATCTTAATATCCTTCACACAATTACATTTGCATAGGCCCTTTTTCAAAATAAGATAACATATCTTTATTGGAGGTACACTATTCAACCCACTACTTTGGACACTTGGCCTTTGTTTCTAGTCCAGTGTAAGTCAATAGACTGAGTATGACTGAATAGCATGTCATTTCAAATCTTCTTTTATGTCTTTGTCAAAGTCTGTTTATTGACATTCATTGGAGGTGCCTTCTCAAGAATGGGAAGTCCTCTGGTTCCCAAGCCATGTCTGGGAGGCTTTCTTCCTTAGCTGCAGGTAAAAACTACTACAATGTGAACAGGATGTGCTCAGAAGATAAAATGCCAGTCAGGGAAGGTGGCAAGTACTGATCATTTCACCAAGCTTGAAGGCTGCTGACTTGTGGACCAGGTCAAACATTGATCTCATCTCAGTTTTAATAGCAAATGCCACCAGAATGCTTGGCCACTAACTCTAAGGCTGATTCCATATGTCACTCATTAGCTTTCAATCAAAAGAGTAAACAAAATGAACAGCCACTGGAAACAGTGAGTTGAGTCATACTGCAACCCTGTCTGTAATTTTGTTTCCATTTTGTTTATGCAATTAAAACCCTACAGTAGGAGCCTCATTTCCACCTGTCCACCCATCAATTTCCTCATTCCAAGATCTTCCTGTGACTCTGCAGTGATTTGCAGGTTGTGGGTACAGAAGGCCAGCCTAAATCTTTGCTTCTATGCCAGCCCATGTTTAGCTGGAAAGCACGCTAGCCCAACAAGGACCATTTACAGTGCCTTTTAAAGGATGCATTAAGAACTAACAAAGCCTTCTGATACCAATATGGGGAAAAAAAAACCCAGCTATTACTCCTTTTGCTAAAGTGGGTCTGGCCTGCATTGAGAAAATATGAAAGGCAAGGGAGAGCAATGCTTAAGTCAGAACACTGTTCTTAGCAATAACCTTTTTCTCTCTGATTTTTCTTAGACCTAAATACCCACTAGGTTGTTTCTGTTTTTCTCAGGGGCTGGAGAACTGCTAATTTTATGGTAAACAATAGATAACTTGGAGGTAGGTGTTGGGTCCATTTCTATTGCGCTAGTCCCTTCCTCCACTGACAACATTAGAAGACAGATTTCTTCTGTTCTCTTTGTGTGTTTACTCTGAAAACTCTAGGCCCATTCTTTATCTTTATTACTCCACCCACAATCAAAATCCAAATGGTAGAAGAGAATGATACTCAGTTTTGGCAAGGAGCTTGAAAGAATGCTTTGCCATGATTGCCTCCAGCACAGCTAACCCAAAGTTATAGAACAAAACTTCTCAAACCCCACCAGTTCTTTCAGGTGGTAAGAAGTCTCTGCGTGGCTCAACGAGTAGAAAGCCCTCCCACCTCTCCTCCTCAGTGTCCAAGCTTGAAACTTAGGTCTTGGCATGGACCTACATCTTCCACTGGTCTGTACTTTCGAAGTATACTGCCCAACATGCTGATAAAAGAAGGAAATGAACTTTTGTTATTCATTATTATAGATATATTTGCAAATGTTGTTTTATTTAATCCACACAAGATCTGTATAGGATACACATGGACATTTAGGCTCAGAAAAGTTAGGTGACTTGCTCAAGGTCACAAAGTTGGTAATAGGTGGGTTTGGGATCAACTTAGGTCTGATTCCCAAAACCTATGCTCTAAGGAGAAGACTTGTAACCAAGGACTCTCAGCAAATTTAATAAATATCTTTCTCAATTTTCTCCTGAATTATCTATCGAGTTAGCAGGCCAGTCCTTTGAACTCATGTTCAAAGGAAAAGGGGGCAGGGATAGTCAAAAAAAGGCAGGGAATATCCAAACATTCTTAAGGTGAAAGTATCCCTCCAATCATAAAGACAACTAATGACATTCCTACACTTAATAACATGTGGGAAGGGTATTATTAAAAACGCTCACTATAACTGTGAAGCAAATGTACCCACTGGAAGCTTAATAATTATGTACCCTAGAAGTAAAACAACATGAAATAATTAATATGTAATTATAGGGATTGAAAAATGGGTCAGTCCTACTTGGAACAACCACCATCACCAAACCTCAAGCATGGTCACACACTTACAGTTCATTTCAGTTCTGAAAACACTGTGATCACCTACTATGCATCAAAGGCTGTGGCTCTGCAGGCAAAAATGAAGTACAGCTGGAAAGTCATGTAACTGGATTTCAGAGGGAAGGGGAATGGGAAGAGCCAGGCTACTTTCAACAAGAATATAGGCGCTACATCTAACCAACAGAGGAGTCCTTTTTTGGAATCTATTATTATTATTATTACTATTGTTTTTCACATAAGTCTCACAAAAATCAACCAGTCTTCTTTCTTTTTTCCCTCTCTTCCTTTTTCTTATGTTTATTTAATAAATATTTATTCAACAAATATGTGTGCCAAGTATTGTATGTACTAGGTGCCACTTTCATAATGCTGAGCAAAAACATTTGGAAGTCACTACTACCCTCCTCTGTAGATAAGGAAACAGAAGTTCAGAGAGTTTGTGACTTGCTGAAAGTCACATGCTAGTAATAAGGCATTTTTGTGTACCAAAGCCTGGGGCTCTTTCCCCTAAGCCAAGATGTTTCTCAGAAGGCAAGGCAAGAAGGAACAGGAAGCGGACTACCCTTCATGACAGCATGGATGGAACCGGAGAGCATTATGCTAAGTGAAATAAGCCAGTGGGTGAAAGACAAATACCATATAATCTCACCTATAAGTGGAATCAAATCATCAAAACAAACAAGCAAGGAAAATACAACCAGCAACACTGAAAGAAAAAAGAAACCAACAGAAATGAGAGGGAAGGAGGGAGGGGGGTAACGGGGAAAGGAAGGGGAAGGGTCAAATCAAGGAACATGTATGAAGGACACATGGACAAATTCGAAGTGGGGAAGGATTGAGGGAAGGAAGTGGGGGTGGATGGGGCAGGGGAAAGTGGTGGCGGGTAAATGGAGATAAATGTATCTGAACAGTAAAAATAAATTAAAAAAAAAGAAAGAAAGAACAGGAGATGCTCTATGGGTTAACTTGTGGTTTTCTGTATTGACTGAGCCCAGTAAACAACCTACTTTCCCAGATCAAAATTAGGAAACTCAATCTAGGCCCCTAAGTTTCAGTTTCTGTCAATTAGGTGAACATTTACTAAATACCATCTGTATATACACCCTGAGGGTGGGGGTGGCTCTCAGAGAGCAGTTTTGGCTCTTTATTTCACCCTGTAAATGCCCTGCTGTCCTCTCCCTTTTTGACAATAGAGCAGCGTTTTGGTCCCTCACTGGGCATTCTTCCTGCTGCCCCTGGCCAGGGTGAACATCTCCCTGACCCATGCTGTTCTTAAGGAAGGATGTGGAATAAGACCCCCAGATTCCAAATGAGGCCCCTACTGCTGGTCCAAGGTCACACTTAACAGACTTCCATCCAAGTTACTCAGATGTCCTTCACCACTTTTATGGTTTTCTTTCCTGCTTCTCCCATTTTTCTCCTCCTCTCTTCTTTTTCCTCTCTCTGCCAGGAGGTAGTCTCACAAAAGAAAGACTATAACCTTGAAAGACGGTCTAAAGCAGTAGCTCTCCATCGGTATCACCTGAGAGGGAGGACTTGTTAAAACTGATCGCAAGGCTCCACCTTCAGCGTTTCCTATTCAGTAGGTCAGGAGTGGGCCTGACACATGCCTGGTGATGTTGATCCTGGACCCACCCTTTGAAAACCACTGGACTAAAGGAATGTTTTTTTTTGTTTGTTTTGTTTTGTTTTGTTTTTAATACTAGTAAAAGAGAATTTGCTCTCAATGCAGAATCCGGCTTGTTTTCCAGGCCTTGCATTTAACATATCTTGGTCTACAGGTAATGAACTGCAAGTTAATTCCAATTGGGCCGTTCAAGCATCTCCAGTAGGTTTTTAGAGTTATTTAACACTACAGAAGACTTCTTGTCTGGGCTAATTACGTGATTAGTTAAGATCGATAGTAGATGAACAAAGGAAAAGTGGGGCAGCTACAGCTCACTGCCAACTTAATAAAATGTTGCTAACTTCAGCCAAG